AGTAACTATTAATAAGCAGCAAATTAGGAGTTTATTGAGGCAAAAGTCATAGTTAATAGTTTGTAAATAACGAGAATTGGACCTTAAAATAAAGTGTGACCGTCACTATCATTAAGCTTTTGACAACTCTTTGTGTAAAATCTACAAGTTAGAAAGTCTGAATAGTTTGCAAGACCGTAAGTATAAACACAAAGAGGCTGTAAACTCGGACTAGTGAGTAGATGAGTTTTCCTGTTTGACGTGATGATGTTTAGTGTCCCTGACACCCTCCATAGTCCCACAATTTGCGCTTAACCGGTTTGGGAAAAAAATAACGTGATTAGCATGTCACGCATCAATTTCATTTTGAAGGTGTCTAGACAAATTACTTCCTGAAGGCTTGATGTGTCACGCCTGGTTAGGACACTGTGTTAGTTACTGTATTCTATCCAGCCACTAGTGCAACAAGACATTTCATTGGTCATGTGGTTTGTAATTCCGTAGTGTTGTGCTCATAAGCCCCGCCCACATCAAAATCTCACTGATCAAATTTTGCTAGACATATCCGAATATTAAACATCAAACGTGCTTTGATTGACCAAGACTGCACAGTATTTTGCTTTAAGAGTGGACAGAGAAAATACAGCCGCTGGAAACTGGACATGTCGTGTCTGGTTAGGACACAGTGTAAGAGTTAATACAAAACAGAAAGAAAGAAACTGCTGTAGCTATTGTTTAATGGCTCATCTAGAGTCTTTAATGGAGGGCAGATATATATTGAGCACATGACATCAGCCATTCAAGGCAGATTGCTTTCATGTACTGTTTTTCTAGGTCTGCTCCCCTTGCAGACAGTGAGAGGGAGACAGAGAGATAAAAAAAAAGCCGAAAGAGAGACAGAGAGGATATACTGAAGACGTCTCTACACAGCAAGCCCGTCAGGGAGGACAAACCTGCTGGTTACACTGGGATGGCGTACTGCCGGGTTTCCTGTCACGCACTCCTGTCAAAAAATACCAAATACACACTCACTCACACACACTTTCTCAGGAAAGAAAGTGTTTACTGCACAAACTGTTCGGCGGCTCAAGATGCACGCTGCCATCTCTCAGACTGGGAGTAACGCCACATTCACAGAGCCTGGTTTTTCCTTTCCAACTGTCACCGCACCAGGCGCTCACCAGCCCACGTACCACCCAAGACTCGTCCCACGTAAATGATCTTTCCTCCATTTTAAGTCTTCATTATCATGCTTTCCGCTCTACCTCCACACCGACGGCATCTCTCGTGTCTTCTTTCACTTAGAGGGGTATTCTTGGCCTTAGTTTTAAAGCTGGTGCATCGTCTTCAAAGGCCAGCAGGATTAGGTTTCTGGGAAAAGCCTAAGCCCTAATGGAGGCTGTAGACCATATAGTCGGAAGCAGGAACCAGTAAAATAGTGAAAGCTTGATCTCCAAATGCTTTAAGTGTCGATAAAGTGCTGACGTTGCTGAGATTTAATCACACACACGCGCGCTCGTTCCATACTCCCATCAACCTGTCTCCTGCTCTCCAGCCTTTACTGGAAGAACTGACCTGAGATGGTGAATTGAACTGAAAATCATGTCAGCATTGATCGAGTCTCAAAGCTTAAGTGCAACTCAGGAGATTCAGCTCAGAGGAACATGTGAGAAGGTGCACACACTCGACTATATGAGGAATGAGCATGTGTCTGAATAAAGTTTATTTAACTTACAGAAACTATTTTTTCAGTGTACTTAAAGGTGAAGTATGTAATTTGTATATGTTAGGTGCCACTAGAGGCACAAAGTTGTAAAACTGTTTCACAAATGCTTGTTGTGCCTTTTTTTTTTTATATTGGTCCGATAGAAGCCCGATAGTCCCACCCCAAACTCACACAATAGAGTGCAACAATGGCTGTCCACTTTTTCATTTAACTTTGTTTCCGGAAGTATTTTTCCCATAGATATTTTAAAAAAAAATTATAAAGTCTTTGTTTAACAATTAAAAGCCATGAAGCAAACCAACAAGCTATGAGGTGAATCACATTACAAACTTCAAAGCTACAAGACCGAGTACTTTATTGTGGTAAAGAACTACACTTCCATGAAGCATCATATAATTGAATTAAAAACGATGGGTAAATATAGATCTATATGATTGCATTTATTGTGTTTATTGGGAAACTAGTGTGAGATTCAAGAAATATTGATGAAATTTTTTCTGCAGAATCATGGGTAATGTAGTTTTTACCAGTAATTCTGCTATAAAACATGACTATTTAAAAAGTAACTTAAAATAATGTGGACTGATAACATCAACAAAAGAGTATTCCATCGATTAACAACCTCGCAGCTCACAGTATGTCTGTTTTTAAAGGTTTATAAGTTATTTTTAAAAATCAATTCCCCTATGGTGAAAATGAAGTGGATTTTTACTACTGGAAACTAGCTGTTATGCTATTTTTTAAGCCAGAATTTCTGTGTTGGGCTGGTCTGGATACTCAAGCAGACTACATCCGAAATCAAAGCTTCACGCTTCAGAATTTAAGCTCAAACAAACTGATCATTTGAAATACTCCTTTCATCATACTATATAATATGTAAGTTGTTGTACTTTGACTTTGCACAAAAATCAACCTACTAATGGTGTGCTTTTACTTATTTCTGCAGTATTAACTTGGGTTAGGAAAGATGATTACTACACTGAAAATATGACACTTTCCCTTAAAATGTAATTGTGAATGTATATGTGCTTAAAGAAAAAAATCAGGTGAAGAGCATTTGAAGTCAGTTATGAGAATACAGTCTTGCTGTATATATGTGCATTATATGTGTGTTGGACTGACTGGGTGAGAATTATATGCACAGCAATGACAAATGGGGTTTGTTTGTGTGTGTGTGTGTGTGTGTGTGTGTGTGTGTGTGTGTGGTCTATTGGTGTGGAGAGC